ACAAACCTTTTTTGCGTCTGAGAGCAGTCCGCATTATTGAAACCCATCACGAGCCGTCCGCATTATTCAAACCCATCACGAACGGGAGAGCTGTAACGCATTTTCATGATGAACAGGTAATATTTACCTTTGTTATTTCAATTTTATATAATTTAGAAAATTATTTTAATTAATATTTATAACAAACCTTTTTTGTGTCTGAGAGCAGTCCGCATTATTGAAACCCATCACGAACGTGAGAGCTGTAACGCATTTTCACGATGAACAGCTAATATTTACCTTTGTTATTTCAATTTTATATAATTTAGAAAATTATTTTAATTAATATTTATAATTTTTTATCGTATGGTGCTTTCATTAAATGCATAATACGTTATCCGAATATGAGAGCAACAAACTTTATATAAACTGAGAGCAGTCTAATTTTTGTAAAATATGTAAACTTTAAACGTGTTTTATATATAAAATTTTATATACTTTTACACATGTTAGTTGGGCAAATTTTAAGGATATATATATATATATATATATATGTGTGTGTGTGCTAACTTTAAGTATATATATTTTTCTTATAAAATAGTCTAGACAAAATTGAGGTAATTTCACATTTTTCAATAATAATATAATATATTTTAATACTTTCACATATGTTATATAATAGTCTGCGTATTATTAATGTCTTTTGGTTGTAACATTGTTAACACATATAATATTAGATACTTTTAAACATATTTAGATATTTCTTTTACTCATTCTTTAATATCTATGTGCATAAAAAGAGAATAAGATTTATAAAAAATTTTCCGGCAATATACTAAATGTTAGATAAAAATCTCATTTTATTTGTTATATAATATTTTGAGTTGCATTAATTTTTATTTGTATGTGTAAAATTGATAAATTAAGTGTATGAAAAGGAGCGTACGAATTACTGTAAGGATTTAAAAAATAAAAAATAAATATAATTTTTGAATATTTTCTAAACAAATTTATGTCATAATTCGTCATAATTTTCCCACATCATGTCAATATTTATTTTATTTATACTAGGTAAAAGGTAAATCATTATCTCAATATTTATTCTATATATTCTAAGTAAATCTTCTCATGTATCTCAACGGTCCGCAGGTAGTATTTCATACTTTTCTATTAATAATCAAATATACCAAACCTTCACAAATTTTACTTCACAAAGAAAGTGTTCAATAATTTATATTTTTTTTCTTCTTTGCAATTCATTTATTTTTATTACATATATATAAATTATATTATTTTTAATATTTCACACGTTAAACATTTCAGGAAAATATACCATCACGTGCATCGCACGGGCTATGCCCTAGTATTATTTAATTATATTGATAAAAATTGAGTTAAATGTTAAGTATTAATTATTGAACCTGGATGAATTATTTTGTAAACAAACATGTTCTGGTAGACTTTATTTATTTATTGTTGGATTTTCTGCTTGGCTACAACATTAATAGCTCTACCATTGGTGTTCCAACAGAAAAAAGATGGACATGATATATGGGCACGAGACAAAGTACTTAACATAGAAAACAATTAAAATTAAACAAGAATATAACTAATGAGTAGATGAAAGTTGAGTTGAGAGAGAGAGAGAGAGATGAGACAATGGCTATGGGGGACAACTATCAAACCCATGCGCAGTTTAGCGGTCCCTCCCCAAAACTCACCTCTCACATTTTGATCTATATATCGAAAAACCCCTTTCCTTTGTTTTCACTCCCTTTCTTTCTATAATAATTCTCTCTCCCCACCTTTCACTCTCTAAATAAATAAATAATAATTTCTCAAAACACACTTCCTATATATGGTCATCTAATTGATCATAAGCTTGCTAGCTACCTTCCTTTTTTCTTTTTCCTTCTGATTTTAGCAGCAGCCTGCACGTAAATACAGCAGTTGCAGGTGAGTTTGTGCAGTGAATATTCAAATAACAAATCATGCATCTTTTTCGTTATATATAATCATCGTGCACATGATGAATAATTAATTAAGGTTAATTGAATTTTCTCCATCCTTGAGAGTTTAATTAAGGTAAATATATATGTGAAACGTCAAATTTTACAATGACTTGTAAGCATTTGTAGTATTTTCACATAAAATTAGGAGAAGTTCATGTTGACTAGAGATGAGGGTTTCTAAATATGTAAAATGCAATAGTGAGTGGGTTCAGAGTAGAGAAAGAGTTAGTGCCATATTAAATGCAGACAAGCAGACAGAAAGGACACATCAACCTGCAAATTTTTCTTTCTTACCAAAAT